GTGAATAGCTGACCCAGTCCTCGTCTTCTTTTTTAGTCATTAGCAGACACTTGTAACGAATGTTGAACAGCGATGGCTGTTCACCAAAAATTCGTGAGAGGACTGCCACGACTTCATCAAACGACAGATCAGTGCTCATCTTTGGCAAAATGAAATTTGTGAAGTTTGCATGTTCAGCAGCACCCAGCTTCCAAAACATAAGGTGAATTTTCTTCTACTCTGAGACTGACCAGTTCGACTCGGAAGATAACATCATCATCATCATCAGTACACTGAGGGTGAGGAAGACATCTCAGCTAACGTGCCGCAATACAAAAAGATACGAAATTAAAAAGTTACACTACGAATTACACCACACAAAATATGATGTTAAATATTATATTTTGCGTTTTGCATGAGATCCGGATTGGAGGGGGAACTCCAAGGGAGGGGGATGGACAAAGAAACACAACACAAATGCCATTGGGACCGGCACTTCGCCATATCAACAAGTGTGTCCAACCAAACGTGTTCATCGTCCGTAGAACCCCAACCACGCAGTCTGGGTGCACCAACCAACGCCAACTTCGAAGTGAGGGTTTTCACCTCTCTCGACCAAGTCATCGCTTGGCCTCCCCTCCTCGTCTTCCAAATGCACCCCCGGCGCGCAAACAATGCACGTCGCGGGAGTCGGTGTGCTGGCATGCGCAACACGTGACCCAGCCATCGGAGTCTGGTGCGTGACATAATGGTGCTGAGCGGTCCACTCGCTCTTGCTACACCAAATACGTGACGCCGAACACGCCCATTGCTCACTGGGTGCTCCCACCAGACATGAGCTAAGCTGCGAAGGCAGCGATGATCTAATGTGACGAGCCTCTTTATGTCTGTCGACCTGATGGGCCAGGTTTCACAACCATATAGGAGAGTTGAACGGACGGTTGCGTTATAAATTCTGCTCTTCAGAGCGAGAGTAACGTCGCGTCTGCGCCACAGGTGGCGGACATTGGCAAAGACGCCTCGAGCTTTTGCGATACGGTTCGTAACCTCATCTTCGATCCCACGGGCGCAAATATAGCTGCCCACGCACTGGATTTTCTTAACGACCTAGCTGATCACCACAAAGCGTTAGCGCAGGGGTGAGTCCCCGCCAATCTTGGAGAAGTAGTTTGCATTTCGATGGAGCATAGCATAGCGAAAAACGATAGACAGCCAGTGCTAATCGGTCCAGTGCTGCTTGGCATGTTTGGGAGCAGTCACAGATTAAGGCAATGTCGTCCGCATACTCCAACTCAAGAAGTCGCTCACCAGGAAGTAGCTCCACACCTTCTAGGTCGGGTCAAGCGAATGCTGTTTCCATGAGTTCGTTAACTGCGAAGTGAAATAGGAAAGGTGACAGCGGGCAAGCTTGTCCCACACCGCTGGTGATACTGAAGGGTGGCGACAGTTTGTCATAAACCGTCACTCGGCCCAAACTATGCGCGTACAGCGCCTTGATAATGTTGACGTATTTAACAGACACACCTTCCTTCAGCAGACAGTCCCAAAGTGCACAGCAGTCAACCGAAACGAAGGCACCTTTGATGTCAAGAGACAGGACAATGGTGGGTCGCCAATAAACATGGCGGTGCTTCAACAATTGACGCAAAGTGAAGAGGTGGTCGATGCAGCCCCGACCTCGACGAAACCCGACTTGCTCTTCACGAATCCGGCTTTCAAGAGTGCCAGTCAGTCTGTAGAGGATGACAGACGCAAGCATTGTAAGGCAAACTGATCCCTCTCTGATTACCGCATACCGAACGGGAGCCTCCCTTGAAAATTGGGACAATGATGGAGCTGCTTCAGTATGTCGGGACAGCCAGCTACTCCCAAAGTTTCACTAACAACTCGTGTAAATCATCTACTAGAGTAGGTCTCCCGAATTCTATCTGCCCCTGCAGCCTTATGCAATTTCAACAGCCTGATCTCACGTTCGACTTCTGCGCGTGAGGACGGATCCAAGGAGACGGCCCAGGGAGAAGGGCGCTCAGGGCACGAAAAGCAAAGCGATAACAGATTGGTTAAACTGCCTTGCAATTTGTTCCGCACAATGCTCCAAGCGTTTCGACAGGTTGTGGATGGGCAGCCCACTCGTCGCGTATGGTCTCCTGCTGCCTGTTTCCTGTATCAGACGGAATAATTTATGATGATTACCAACGTAGTGGTTGTTTCCATCTCCGAGACACGATGTGACCACCAGGCTTCCCGGTCTCTCTTCAGCCTAGCACGCAGTTTTGTCCTGAGATTTTTGCGAGCCTCATTGTATTCGCTTCCAGCCGGAATACGTCGGCAAGCATCCATAAGTTCCAGAGACTGTGTATAGACCCAATATCGTTTGGCAATTTGATTTGCTACATGAAGACATGCATGCTGATGGTAACGTTTGACGAATATGCGACTTGTGATCTTCGACGGTGTTCAGTGGGCGCTTACTAAGACCAGATGTCAGCGCACCTTGATACACATTCAGAACATCTGGCTTCGCCAGCTGGCTCGTGTCAATCCGTTCACATCGACGTTGCGGACGTCCATAGAAACGTACCCGGACGTCAGCGCAAACAAGTGCGTGGTCAGAGTCCACGCTCGTGCTCCAAATCGAGCGACAGTTTTGGACATAGCCTCTCCAGAGGTAACAGATCGCGACGTGATCGATTTGCGTCCATGACTGGTGCGAAGCTGGTGGGCGCCAAGTCACACTTCTGCGGGTGTTGCGTCGAAAGATAGTGCTCGCAAGAAAGAGGCGAGCATCTTCACACAGCTGTAGCAATCGTTCACTGTTATCATTACGGGAGCCTACACCATGTTGGCCGCCCAGATGAAGCTCATCAGAAGAAAATTTGCCGACTTGGGCACGCTAGCCAACACCACAGTATCCGCTACTCTTCCGTAACAAAGGAGCTCGTGAAGTTGCTGATAGAAATCACCTTTCACCGAAACAGTGCTACAGTTTGTAGGGGCGTAGGCCAAAATGACAAACAAGCACCGTTTGTTCCTGCACGACTACGTAGCATGGAACGAACCAACTAATTTAACGGCGCACATCCAACTGTTTACTGGGATCCAATCGATCAGGACAGCTTCAGCCCGGGGACTCAAAACAATGTCGACACCAGCTTGCCCGGCGTTTGAAGCTGCATCATCGCCAGACAGGCGCAATGAGAATGCGCCGCCAGTGTCGCATGTGGGGGATCGCAGCGTAAGCACGGAGCTTGAATCTTGCAGGCGGGTTTCTGATAAACAGCAAATATCGATCCGTAAGGTCTCTAATGTGCGGGCAAGTGCGGCCTGTTAGCCAATCTGTGGCGAAGTGTGCACGTTGAGACAGGCCAGCCTTAGCGAGGATCGAGGACTCCAAAGGGAAACGGATTAACTGACGTTATCCGCTTGGTTGAACATGGAGTTGTCGACTGGATTGAAACGACGACCTGCAACTGTGTGAGTTGGAACTAGAAGATAAGCGACCTTTGAAGTAAGGTGGGAGAGAGCCAAGAATTGTGGGTTGAAATGGGGGGGGGGGATAAAAGTAAAGTTGGAGCGGGACGAAAAGGAGGAGAACGCGCAATGGAGATAAAAAGACGAGAAGGCCTGAGCAGTAGTATCCAAACCCCTATCCACCCTGCTCGATGTAGCAGATAGGGCGCCGTTGCTTATCCTCTGCGACAGGCAGATCATTAAGAAATTGTTATAAGAAAGGTTCATTGTATTGCGTGGGGAGAACATTGTCAGGTTGCCCAGGCCTAGATAGGAGAACGATTAGGGTTCTCAACCAAAGCCCTTGGTTCAAAAACCTTACCGCAAGGAAGCGGGATTTTGGCACTGGACTACAGAGAGCTCGTTTGATGGAGTAAGGAGCCACGCTCACTCCAAACCCCAAACTGGGAGGCCAGGAGAATGAGTTTGTATGACCTCTAAGCATTGACCAGTCTGGTGTGAGTGACTCTGAAGGTGCAAAAAGCACCATCCAGCATAGCTCAATGAATTACTGAGGCACACAAACCATCGCACCACGTTAAAGTCCAGTCTCGTCGCGAGGACGGAACATAGCTGCATACTTGTGGAATCAGGAAGTGAAAGTTACACCGCATCAGCGTCATAATGGAATTCACTGATCTGCTGAGTCAGTTTTTTTGGAAAGGGGACACTTTCCCCTGCCCCTGAACCTCCGTCGCAACGAGACTGGACCTTAACGTCGTGCGACAGTTTGCTTGCCTCTTTGACCAGAGAACTATACTGGGTAGCGCCCCCGGGCCCCTTGTTGGTCAATGGTTAGAGGTTAGACAAACTCAGTCTTCTGGTCTCCAGGTTGGGGTTGGAAATGAGATGGCGACCATTTCTGTAAAACTAAATCATTGTCAACTTCCCGCTGCTTTGCGGACAAGCATTTGAGCCAAAGGCTTTGGGTGAGAACTCTAATCGTCATCCTGTCTAGTCCTAGCCGCCCTGGCAGTATCTCAGCCCACATACAACCATGACTTTTCTTCAAACCTTAAGCACACCCTGCATCGGCCGTCTCGCAGATTATCAAGAGTCGTCTTATTTGCTGTATACAACAGAGCGGATAAGCGAAAACATGCTACTGTTGGCGTCTCTCTTCTTTCCTTTTCACATGTTTCTCTTACTCCCATCCCAACCCCGATTATTAACCTTCCTTCTGTAATTTCCAGCTTAAATGACAGCAACCGAAGGGCCACTGAGTCACAGCATCTGCAGCCACCTCTACGCAACACCACCGGACACCTATCGGCAACCGTCCCTTATAAGGTCACGTTGTCCCGTTTCCCTGGCGGCGTTCAACGTTCGCATTAGAAGACAAATAGGTCAACAAGCTGCACTCGCGCCACGTTGGATGCACTGAGTATTGACGTGCGTTGTGTGTCCGAAACTAGGATCAATGACTCCAATGGGGTTGTTGAATTAACTACACCCGGCTTTTCCTCTTGCTATCGGTTGCACGCATTCGGAGATGCTGATACAGCACTCACCGGTCAAGCTTGGGTAGGTATCATTCTCAGCTCCAAAGCTGGGCCATCGTTGGTTGACTGGATTCCGGTGAACAGCCGTTTATGTGCAGCACGTTTGACATCAACTCAGGTTGATTCAGGTAGTAGTACAAAACGCAGTTTGTTTGGGATTTCCACTTATGCTCCAACCGACCGCAGTTCTGAGGCTGAAAAGGATACATTTTATCACGAACTGAACACTACTTCGCAGTATTACTAGTTTAGACGTCATAGTACTTGCAAGGGGTATGACTCACGACAATAACGAAGCTAACAAAGGGAACTGGATTCGAAATCTATCCAATATGCTACTTTCCGTAGCAGAAAAACAAGTCCTCACCAAAGGGCTCAACTACAATTTGAAGGATGTTATGACTACAGAGTTCCTGTCCGGATTCGAAAGCGCAATGCAGTCCAGCGCGTTTAACGATGATACGCAGAAACAACAAAGATACGATTATTCCAGTAAGAGCACGCGACAAACAGCACTATTCTCTATCTCAACAAAGCCGATGAATCCATTGCCATTTTACCCGCGGACAAGGGACGCGTGACGGTTATACTGGATAAAGAGGACTATGTTAAAAAATCGAAACAGCTTCTGAGTGACAATAACAACCTATGGTCGCATCGAAAACAATACAACAACGCAACTGACAAACAGAATAAACAGGTTAAGATTGCTCCAGGTACGGAACCAGATCACAAAGGAAGACCGTGCTAGAATGATGGCCCGCGATCCGAATATAGCACAATTCTACGGCTTACAAAGATACATAAAGATGATGCACTACTAAGACCAGTCGCATCGCTCCCAGGCACAACTACGTACAACCTAGCGGGAGTTGTGGAGACGTCTCAAGCACCTAACGATGGGATCACAGCACTCTATACATAGTGCACAACAATTTCTGGAGGTCAAAGGTATACGAGTAGATCATGACGAGATAATGGTATCGTTCGACGTGACCGCAGTCTTTACGTCTGTCAATTTACAGACCGCAAAGTAAGCAATCACCGAACGGAGGGACCAAAGTAAGAAAACAATCGGAAAGCTGACGACTGAAAATCTGTGCAAGCTACTTGACCTATGCCTCGCGACCTACTTCGCTTTTGATGGACAGATCTATGAGCAGGTGAAAGGAGTCACCATGGGATCCCCAGTGCCAGGACTCGTTGTAGAGATAGGAATGCAGAAACTTGAAGAGAACGCACTGTCCAAATTCAAGCCAAAGTTGTGGATCCGATACGTCGATGATACATTCGTGATACTGAAATGCAGTCAAGTAGATGCTGCATACCAATTGCTCAAGAACACCAGAGACGACATTAATTTTATGATGGAATCAGAGATAGAAAACCAACTCCCATTCTTGGATGTGCTAGTCACCAGGACGACTGACGGAGAGTTATAAACATCGATATACAGGAAAGGAATACACACCGACCAGATCTTATACTCCAGTAATCAGCCAAAATGTTACAAAATAAGCTGCGTGCTGACTCTCTTTCGCAGAATTAAAACACATTGCAGCACTCTTGAGGCAAAAGAAAAAGGAGATATATCTGTTCAGATCATTTCATCTAAATGGATATCCACATAGCTTTGTCCGGTGATGTCTAAACAACAAATCGACGACCCCACAGCCTGCTCAGACGACGACAAAGAGAATCGTTCTACCCTAGGTAAAGAACATCTCCGAGACGACAGCAATATTATTCAAATAGCACGGTCTTACAGTGGCCCACAAACCAACTGTCAGATTGAGGAGAGCTCTGTCGAACCCCAAAGCTAGACCCGGAACACAAGAAAGACGCAATGTTGTTTACAAGATACGATGTCAAGATTATGATAAAAAGTATGTGGATCAGACAAGAAGACGACTGTCAACAAGAATACAAGAGCTTAACAGAGCTTGTAAGAACCATTACGCTATCTTACTTGTTTCAATACATACAGACGAAGAAGGGCATCACTTGGATTGGAACAACAGAGGTCCTAGAAAAAGGTGAGACACGCAAAGGAAGAGAGTTCCTCGAAGCACGGTAGTCGGCGCAGCATTCCAGAAACATGCACATAGAGATTGATCCAGTGTACCAAAGGTTAAGACGGAAGGAACTAAAACACCTTTTAAAAAACCGTCATGGTCAGCTAAACGAGCCATCTACAACACATCAGCAACAGCCGCGGCAAAACCATCCCACGAATCGCTCGTGCCTGTCAAAGTTGGGCAGACCGGTGAAGGTCAGGGGGCACAGATCGAGGAGGTCAATTCAAAAGTCACTTGCTGATCGATTACAAACTGAAGAACAAGTTAGTGGATTACACTTGACCCAGCAGCGCACTGACGAAGTTACCTCGTTTGGTGATGAAACGTTTGCATCTCAAGTACGAAGCTCGGCGAACAAGTGAATTCAGGAACAAGTAAGGTGTCAGAGCTCTTCAGATATTCAGCTAGGTGCTAACTATGGGGTTAACTCCGAACAGACAGAGAACGGCGAGCGCCAGTTGCAACTGGGTGCAGAGCATCAGTAGCACTGTTTTTAGCCACACTGGGCGCTGAAGAGCCACTTGGCGTCCTCCTGTAGCTGGTCAACGATGGACCCAAATGGATTATGTTTCTATACGTCACAGGTGGTGGGTCCCATCCAAGATTACCGCTCGTTTTTGAATACCTACGTCGACTCTGATCACGCCTTGGTACACGTTCGTTACAACAAAATCGGCCTATGAGAATCACTTTTGTGAACGAAGCCAGTCCAAGACTGATCTTCTCCCGCCTAGGTAGGCTGAAAGGTTCCAAGATCCATGTTCGTCCAGACCTGAACCCAGTTTACCGGGAACGGCTTAAGTCTGTCGTCAATGAGCTGAAAAGACCTACTGGTGAGGCGGAAACGAATCTCCGTAGCGTAAATTTTCGGGTGGTTTCCAAAAAGTTGTGAATCAGGATAAACAGGCTGCTCACACTACAAGCACGCCCGGCGGCTCCTGCTGCGGCCTGCGAGTAGCTTTCACAAACGTTTGCAGTGTTATGAACAAGCGCGATGAGCTTTGTTGTTTCATTGCGTCTGAGCGGCCAGACGTAGTGGGACTCGCAGAGACATGGCTGCATGCAGTTATATACACAGGAAGTTAAACTCAACGGTTACTCGTGCTTCCGATGCAATAGACTAACGAATGCCCGCGGCGGCCTTGTTCTACATCCGGTTTTCCCTGTGTGCGAGACTTGTGAACACCTACCGAAGTGACGATGGTTTGTTTGAGCTACTATGGTGCTCCGTCCACCTCAGGCGCGGAGAACTACTTGTGGGCGCAGACCATCGCAGATCACTGAATTGTTGTTTGGATTGGCTGTCCCATCTTCGAACCCACATGAGTCGCCCACACTTTCTGCTTATGGGTGATTTTAACTGTCCTCGAATACGATGGCCTGATATGCATTTGATGCCTGGACATAGTGAGGTTGAAGCAAAGTTCGTGGACTTAGTACTTGAAACTGGTGCATCGCAACACATGCCAGCCAACACGCATAACGACACGTTCAACCCCGTCCTGTCTCGAACTGGTGTTAACGAGCTACGAACAACGAGCCAACTGGATTGGTCTCTGTCACAAACTGCATCTGTGGAAGACTGTTGGACATTGATAAAAGAGAGATTGACATAATTGTGTTCCCAATTTGTGCCATTGAAATGTCGAAAGGTTGGACCGATTAAGCCTCATTGGTTTGGCAAGGAGTGTGGAAACCTGGCTCGGAGGCGGCGCAGACTGTGGGACAAATTCCTCCTATCTGGCTCTGCCAATGATTACGAAGGGTATAAATATCAGCGGAACCTCTGCAACATTGCAAAAAAAGAATAAACGCCGACATTTCGAAGAGCAACTCGCAGTAGCCGCGAAGACCGTCCCAAAGAGAATCTTTGCATACGTGAAGCGACGCCTGAAGCCGGCAAGTGATGTGCCAGTGCTAGATGACCCGGGTGGACAGCCCCTAACCTCCAGCACTGAGCGTGCGTCCGCGTTGGCGGCACACATCACTTCTGTATTTGCAAATGACCAGGTGTCTGTTCCGAGTTCGATGTGTACTGCTTTTACCGAACTAAACAGTCTGGATTGCGGCGTTGAAGAGATATATCAACTACTCGCCAACATTGAAGGCACCAATCCTGCTGGACATGATGGGCTTCATCCACTGATTCTCAAGTCACTTTCGGCCATCATCTCTCGTGTCGTGACTGACTTTTTCAACTGGTCGCTGTTCGAAGGTTCGTTGCCGATTGACTGGAAATGTTTGGTGGTGAAGCCTATTCCGAAAGGCGGCGACCCTAGTAAAGTAGACAACTACAGACCAATTTGTCCGGCACCTATTTTGACGAAGGTTGCTGATAAAATCTTGAAGAAGGGATTGCTGCAGTTGCTACAGTCAAACGAGGTCCTGACGCCCGCACAGCACGGTTTTATGCAAGGCCGCTCATGCATTACAAACTTGCTTGTGACGAGGCATGTGTGGTTGAAGACAATAAGCAAGGGGAAGTCTGTCGACGTGATATTCATCGATTTGAATAAAGCGTTCGACAAGGTCAGTCATGAGGTTCTCCTTCACAAACTCAGAATGTGTGGTGTCGGTGGCTCACTGCATCGGTGGATCCGCGACTTTCTTGTTGGACGAAAGTGGAGGGTACAGGTCGACCACCATCTAACTGACTGGTACCCTTCTACAAGTGGCGTGCCTCAAGGCACTGTGCTGGGGCCCACTCTGTTTCTGATCCACATCAACGATCTACCGCAGCTTCTCCGGTGACCGTGTGCTTTGTTTGCGGACGACATGAAGATTTGGAGGTAAATTGACGCTCGCGATGACTGTTGCCTACTTCAGCAAGACCTCAACCGCCTATCCACATGGTCTGCAGAAGTTCTCCCGATCAACCCAGCCAAGTCTGTATTTATGAGCCTGGGGAAGGGTGCTGACGGCCGAACCTACACCCTTGACGGTCAACCGTTATATCCCACACCCTCCGTGAAGCCTCTAGGTGTACTCTCGCGCTACGATTTGAAGTCCGTGGACAACACGAACAGGCTATATCGTAACGGACTGCGCATACTTTGAGCGCTCAAACGTAGCTTCGCCACATGGTCTGAAGAGATTGCCACTCGCCTCTTCTCTTCCATCATTAGACCAATGCTAGAGTACGGTTCGCCCGCCTACTTTCCGATTAGCCGAGGCGAGGCACAAAAGATCGAACGTGTCCAACACGTTGCTACCAGGCTCATCCCGAGTTTACGTGGGTTGGCGTATGAAGACCGGTGCGAAAAACTAGTACTCTACACCTTGTCCTACCGTCGGATGCGAGTCGACCTCATTATGACCTACCGTATTCTACATCTCGGTGACTTCCCAATGCTAACGCCAATGCTGCACTTACGAGAGCCATGCAGCACACGCGGTCACAGATACAAACTTGTCGTGCCGGATGTGAAATGTGTTCCC